TATTTCAGGGTTCAAAAAAATATAAGACAGGGTCTTATTTTCGGGGAAACACAGTAGGTGCATTTTTTTCACTGTTGGCATAATTGTTTCAGTGATATTTCTTAGTCTTTTGCTTAAGGAACTCCAGCAAAGGGTCTTGATTTCAAGATATGTCTTAATATGTATTCAGCCATTAATAATAAAGTGAGGAAAAAACCTATTTCCTCTGTTCTCTAAAATTATGAAATATCTATTAGAAAAAAACAAAAACAATAAACTCAGCTAGCTTTTTCTGTATTCCTATAATAAGACATCTATTTATGTTACATTGTGAAATGGATTTTGGAAATAAAAGATTTGTAAATATTAAAAGATAAAATAAAAAATAAAAATGGCATAGTTAAAATATGGCAACAAGTATCTTTATATTTAGGAAAAAATGGGAAAAGGCCAATTATTTGAACAAAAGGAAATGAGGGAGATTTTGCCTGTTGGAATGGTACAATGAATGAAGCATTAATGTTAAAAAAGGCAATACATAGGAATCTAGTGGCTTTCTTTGCTTGAGTTTAAAGGGGGGGGATATAGATAATATGTAATTCAAACAGTTCTATCCAATCAGTACTGGGTTTAGAGAGTATTATTAGTATGAGCTTCAGTGGCACAGTGGTTACAGTGCAATACTGCAGGCTACTTCTGCTGACTGCTGGCTGCTGGCTGCCTGCCATTTGGCAGTTCAAATCTCACCAGGCTCAAGGTTGACTCAGTCTTCTATCCTTCCAAGATGGGTAAAATGAAGACCCAGATTGTTGTGGGCAATATGCTGACTCTGTAAACTGTGTAAAGCACTGTAAAGCAGTATATAAGTCTAAGTGCTATTGCTATTGGTATTACCAAACATAGCCCTGAAGTTATTTGATGCTAAACTACTCAATCAATCAACTTTATCATACAAATAGAGGCAAAACAACTATTGTAACCCTCTTTTCCTGCTAGTGGCACAGAGACAAATTCCTAGAGTGCCCTTTAAGTTTTAGGATCTTTGTTTTGAGTCTCTTTTAGTATTCATGCCTTGCCCTTGGTCACACATGATGTTAAACATGGATAGAAGGGATAAAGGTACCCTAGCTCTATTGGTGGTGGTAGTGTTGATGTCAACTGAGCTATGATTTTTTTCCTCCCAAAAAATTGATTTTGAAAAAAAGGATCCAAAAACCTTCAGGAGACATTTGCAAGTCTGGGTAGATGTTCAAACCTGTTTGACCAGGTACCTAAAGTACAGTTGAGTTGCTTCCTCCTGGGTAGCTGCTAAATCAGCCATGTTGCATAAATGCAATTCATCTGCCATGGAAAATAAAATATGCTGTTATCACCAAGCATAGTTACAGAAAGTGCACATAATTACCTCCACAATTCCTAACCCTTGTTACTGCTCTTTTTCTCTCTCCTCCCCTCCCTCTCCCTCTTCCACCCTCTCCACACACATGCTCCTACACTTGGAGGGCAGTGGACATTTTAATGAACTATTGCTAGTGGTCACAATAAACAGTAGGGAAGCCAAAAACCACAGTGATTAGATGGTCATGCAAAAGTTCTTGTGTTGCAAGTGGTCTATTTTTGGATTCAGTTCAAGACGTTTCCTTCAAGACCATACATTCAATCTATGAGCCATTGTACCTTCAATTTTCATGCTTTCTGTAACCAGTTTTAAGGAGAGCTGCCATATCAAATTTAGTCCTGTTTTGCTTTGCAGTTATCTTGAGCCCATTTTCAATTTAAATGCACCTGAGTAAGTTGGAGTAGGTGATATCCAAAATGAATTAAATACAAATGTGCATAGGTAATTTATTTCCAATATTCCATTAGTTTGAAAATGGAAGGAGAAAAATACCATCATCAAGAACATTAAGAGGAAGCACTCACTGCAATATATACTGCTCAAAAAAATAAAGGGAACACAAGCAGAAGACATCCAAGATCTGAATGAATGAAATGGCCTTATTAAATACTTTGTTCTTTACATACAGTAGTTTATTCACTGCTCAAACAATTAAAGGGAACACAAAACTACTGTATGTAATGTATAATATTTTAGCATTCAGTCAGAATTGCCCATCAGGGTATTTAAGCAGTATAACTACTATACAGTATTAAGGAAATAACATCCAATTTACTACAGAAATGTGATACTTAAACTTTTTTCTTTTTCTGTTCTTCTTTTCATTCATTGAAAAATGATCTTATTTGCATAGACCTATCCCAATCACCTGACCAAAATTGTATCCTAGTTGTCCTAAGCAGGCAAAAATGAAGTTTTTCTATTGAAGTTAGGATTTGGGCGTTTTGAAGCAAAGCTACACATTTTTAGACCTAATACATATCTTTGTGGATTTCTAAATAGTAGGAACTTATGTAGTGCTGATTTTCAAAACAGGGATCTGGGTGCAGAAAGTTAAATACAACAGCTATTAGAATTCTGGTTTCTTTTCATTGTTCAAAGCTCAAATGAGTCACCTGTGTTCAAAAGACCATTTTAAAATAACTATTCTATATTTTAAGTGCGTATGAATTATCTTTTTTGGGCAGGACTTTTCATTCCTTGAGAAAATAAAGTGACTTCACATGAATTGAAGAGTTTTGGCTTAGCTCCCGATTTTTGCAAAGGTGCATTTCATTTCTGAATTGAATATGGATTCAATTTAGCCTGTTTAAATAAAACAAAAAGATGTGAAATAAGCATGTGGAAGCAAGATGAGATAAATAAAGATACATTGTTGATATTGTTTTACTCAGCACTGAGTAATTGGGATATAGATAACTACTGCTAGTAGAAATATGGTAAATTTAGAAATACATGATTATGGCTGAGTTATTCTTTGTTTACAAATATCAGAACATAAGCTTCATTGTACCAGTGACTAGTCCATAAAAATGTTTCTGTACCTTTAATTTAGTTTTGACTTCTGGGGACTGTCTGGACTAGATTAGATTAGATTAACAGAGTTGGAAGGGACCTTGTAGGTCATCTAGTCCAACCCTCTGCCAAGCAGTTTTCTTGTCAAAACTTGGCAGTGGTTTGTTGCTGCCTCCTTCCTAGGGCTATGAGAGGATGACTGGCCCAAGGTCACCTAGATGGCTTTGTGTCTTAGGCACAATTAGAATTCACAATCTCCTTCAATTAGCCTGATGTTTACACACTACCCCAAACTTGGTCTTGGATACATAAAAACCTTGGATACCTAAAATTAATATTGATTAGTTAGGTCAGAATATTTGTTGATCAGGCTGCTGCCCACCTTACATATTACATGACAGAATTTGGCCACCATTAAAGAGATGGAGACATTTGAATCTGATAGTAGGAGATTTAAATAGTGACCAGAATGTTTACTGTTTCCCCCAAAATAAGACATTCCCTGATAATAAGCCCAATTGGGCTTTTGAGCGCATGGCAATAAGGCCAAGCGCTTATTTCAGGGTTCAAAAAAATATAAGACAGAATCTTATTTTCGGGAAAACACTGTGATATAAGCAAAATAAGCAAATAAGCAAAAATAGGAGGAAGGTATGTTTGATATGTTCGCTGCCTTGAGTTATTTCCAATAATATAGGCAAGATAAACTCACAGAGAGTGTCGGCCTTTAAATTTGAGTTGTATAATTGGGTAGTTATTTAATTTCCAGATATGTGTTTTACGGTGTTTTGCAATTTGTAGAGCTTCTGTGTTGCAGTATTCAGCTGAGGTGCGTACCACGATGACTTCCTCAGAATGTCAGAATGAATTAGCCCATTTTCTGAATTCCATAACCATATAGAAGCATATCATAACCAAACTCAAACAGATCAAGTAAAGCCATAAACTTACCCTATCCAGCTTGAGATCTAACAGGTCTTTACTTTACTATTCTAAAGGTTTTGCCTGAAGACATTTGTTGATATGGATCCCTAGCAGACATTACAGGTAATCTTTGTTTTACAACAGGTCAACAGTGACTATTCGAAGTTAGAATGGCACAGAAAAAAGTGACTTATGAACATTTTTCACACTTTGACCATTGCAGCATCCCCATTGGCACATGATTTACATTTAGATGCTTGATAAATGACTCACATGTATAATGGTTTCAGTGTCCCGGGGTCATGTGATTACCTTTTGCAACCTTCTGACAAGCAAAGACAATGAGGAAGCCAGATTCACTTAACAATAGTGTTACTAATATAATAACCGCAGTGATTCAGTTAACAAATGTGAAGAAAAGTCATAAAATGGGGCATAACTCACTTAATAAATTTCTCACTTAGTATCATCAATTTGGGGCTCAATTGTGGTCGAGGACTACCTGTACTCTCTAGGCAAGTGCTTGTCAACCTTGGCTCTCTTAAGATGTGTGGACTTCATCTCCCAGAAATCCCCAGGGTGGCTGGGCAATTCTGAGAATTGAAGTTCACACATCTCAGAGCAGCCACCATTCACAAACGCTGTTCTAGGCAAACCTCAGGCACAGATCCTACAGGTGTCCTTGTTCTGAGTCTTTTTACGTGTCTAGCCTCCTCTTCCTAGTCACATCCTGCTCGGTTAAGGAATCCTGAAAGGTTAAGGAATGCTTGGATGTTTGGTTCTTACTCCTGATTAAAGAAAGGGCTCGGGCACCCGTTGGGATCAGGTTAACCAGCGGGGCATGAGGGGAGTCTCTGTGTATCAGTATGTTTTTTTTGGGGGGGTGAGGATGAGGAGAGAGATCATTTAACTGCGAAGCTGATTGGCTTTTATTCTGGTTCGCCTGAGAGCAGAGAGCAGCACCTCTGTGCCCTCCCCCTGAAATGGAGACCTGCAAATTCCCCAGCCAGAAGTGTTGTGGGGCGCTCCTCCTCCTCCTCCTTCTTCTTGGGGGCAGCAAACTCTTCCAGCCCGGGAGGAATCCTGCAATAGTCGGGCATCCAGGAAACTAAAGGGAGGCGCTTAAAACAACTGAAGTAAATGATGTCTTCAGAAACCTTACACTTTCCCGTTCTCTTCCAAGGTCCCGGAGAAGGAGGGAGAAGAAAGGACTACTTCCCTGCCCTGGGGCCCCTTCTCGATCATTGATTCACCTCGTCCAGAAACCGAGAAAAAAGGGGATTTTCTCCTGCTCTTTTGTTCTCCTCCCGCTTCATCTACGCCTAGTATTATTTTTTTTTAGGTAAGCGGCTCAGGTTGCTTGATTAGGATTACTGTATTGTGAATTTTCTTTCCTTTCTCTCTCCTTTTCTCTCTTTTTCCCTGCGTGTGTTTAAAAAGTTCACTAGATCATATTTAAGGAGGACTTTGGCAATGTTTGCAAAGAAAGAGAAAAAGCAACCTGTGTTCTCTAGTTGAGAATAGGGACTCCACACAAGTAGAGAAAACTTTGATTATTTATGCTGAAAAAGAAGAATGATGAGTCTCAGTCTCTCTTTGTGTATCTTTCAAGAAATGTGGGTGAATCCAGTAAGAGGTTAGAAATAAGAATAATGGAAAAGCAGTATTGTGTTTATTAAGTTGGGCATCTGGAGATTATCTGATTTTAAAAAAAGATTTGTTGGCTCTGACCTTTTAGAGCAAGAGATGTGAAAAATAAACTTTGCTACCAAGGCAAGCTAGTTGGGTGTGTTTGTGTGCTTTCAGCATTGTAACACCCAAATCTAGTGTTGTCCTACTTGGCAATCTCCAAAATTCTGATAAAAGCTAGAAATTCTGAGAGTTACACACCTAACACATATAAAAAATACTCAGTAGGTGAAGGATTCTTTATCTGTAAAGTAGAACTAAAACCTGTTGAAAACAAGGATGTAGGATGAAGGAACAGTTTGCTTGAGAAGGCTTGTTTGCATTTTTAAAATGATGTTTGCATTTCTACCATGCACATAAGTGTTACAGTTGAGATGTATACATTATACAGGTGGTCCTTGACTTATGACCACAACCGGAACCAGAATTTGAGTTGCTAAGCAAATTGGTTATCAAGTGAGATTGAGAATCTCCACAAAGTGAGTCTTGCCCAATTGTATGATCTTGTTTCCCACATTTGTTAAAGCCAATCACTGCAGTTGTTAAGTGTCTCGTGTGGTCGTTAAGTGAATCTGTCTTTCCCCCTGACTTTCTTGTTCAGAGTCATCTGGGAAGGTTGCAAGTGGTGATAGCATGACCCTAGGATGCTGCAATGGTTGTGAATACATACCAGGTGCCTGAGTTTTGATCCTGTGACTGTGGGAATGCTGATGGCCCTAAGTGTGAGGACTGATTGTAAATCAGTTTTTTTTCAACGTTGTTGTAACTGAATGGTCACAAAACAAATCGTTGTAAATCAAGAACTGTCTGTATATGTAATCCAAGTCTAAAACGCCATTGACATTTCATTACTTTCCCCACTTTCTGTCTCACCTTAGATTCTGCACTGAGCTTTAGGAATTGCTGTTTGAGTGTCTTTGTAACAAAAAGCAAGAAATTGCTCAGAGCAAAACTATCCATTTGTAAAGTTAACTTTCTTTTATTTGTATGCATCTCAAAATAAGAACCTGGGGTAAGGAAATCAAACAAAATGTGTAATCTGCTGTCTCCTGGATGTTTGGCTTTTAGCTCATATTAGACTTGGGTAGCAAAGCCAGTAAAAGGCATCTGGAAATATTTTCCAAAACATTTAGAGGGTACCAAATTCATTGATGTTACTGTGAAGGATTTAAACTTCTGCATTCAGAATGTAAAATCCTTTGTTTCTGAAAGCTTGTTTGGCCTAAAGACTGGAGTAGATTTCTGCTGCACTGGACTATGTGGAACACACATGGCTGTCATCCAGGGGTGATTGTACGGGTGCTCTTTTTGTATGTCAGTGAATTTTAATGTTTCCCGTTGAATGTGCCAGGGGTGGGTTCTTTACTACCCCTGGCACACCTTTACTACCGGTTTGCAACGGGATCGCACGCGCATGCGCAGATCTCCAGCCTCCCGCCAGTTTTACTACCGGTTCTTGCGAACCGGTCTGAACCGGGGGCAACCCACCATTGGAATGTGCCTTCCCTTCTCCCACCTCTCAGCAGGAAGTTGGAACCAATCAGCACATGGAGTACACAGCTCCACAATCCGCAGTTGGGGTTCTGGAACTTTTTGCGTCCACCATCTGCAATCCTCTGTATCCCCCATCAAATCTTCAGAGCATAGTTATATGGTGACAGCTATAGGTGGTTGTGGCCAACTCTAAATCAGTGTATATTCATCCATACATTTATATCTTCTATTTATTAACAGTAATAGCATGCATGCCCTTCAATGCTTTCTTGTTTTCTTTGGTTTCATTTAATATTATACATGTTATTTTTTTTCCTCAATAGGAAGCACTTTCCATCAGTAGTCAGACAGTTAATTATATTTGTTTCTCCAGCAAACATAATAATCATGCATATTTTATTCATTGATTCACTGGGAAAAAGAATTTTATTGAAAGTTTTTTTATTTTATAGACAAAGAAACAATACATAATCAATCATTCAGTGCTTCATCTGAGAACATCTTTTGTGACTTCTTCTTGTTCTCCAATGTTAATCATTTCATAATATCATTTCATTTATTATAACATTTCTCCCACATTTCTTACTTTGCTGTTAATACATTTATCTTCTCTCTCCTCTTTCTTCTACTGGGAAAAACAATTGACTGTTTTCTTTTGATGTACTAATTCCATAACACTGCCTGTTAAGGCAGAGGTAAAGAGCAAGCATTTGAATAGTGTGGTGTTTCCCTCTCCCCAACTGATTACTAAGATCTTCTTTTCTGTAGATGTGAGATGCAGGTGACACAGCCATATTGGACTTGTTGCTGTTGGCTTGGAATCTGCCTATGGCTCCTAGCTGGAGAAGGAGGATGTGCCTATGCAAAACTCTGCAGAATTCCCCCATGTGGCAGGAATACCAATGGTGGATTACAGCCTATCAGACAGCAGTGCCATGGCGCACACTGCTTCAGCAGATCAAATCGCTCATCTCATACTTTTGTTCAGCCATCCAGCAAACAACAACCACAGCAGTCTTCTATAGGCAGCATCCTGGGGCTCTTAGCTGTGACTAGCCGAAGTTCAGAGGCGATATGTTCTGGAGGAAGGGACTGTACCAGAAGAACTCTCAATAGCACCATGCAGGATTGCAGAGGCATTGAGTGTCGGCTGCCCCTGCACATTCGCCAGAAGCCTAGACCTGCAAGCCAAATCTTCCCATGCCCACCAAATCAAGGGGAACGCTGCCTGGAGCCTACCCTGGTCAGAGTAACTGAGAAGGCAGCACAATTTGTTGGGGAAGAGCTTGCCTACACAGCTTCAGAACTTGGTGGCACTGCTCTCAGCGTTCAGCTCACCTGTGATGTTAAACCAGGTAAGTGTTGGGAACTAGTATTGATCCATTTAGTAAGCTAGGACCAAAGGTGGTATTCAGCCAGTTCGTACCGGTTCGGGTGAATAGGTAGTGGAGATCATGGGTGGGCCTGCCCACCCACCCACCCGTGCACTTGCCCTGGCTCTATGTCGTCCTATTAAGAGACGTTTTCGAGGCCAGGCGCATGACCGGAAGGTCAGGTATGTGTGGAAGGCGTCCAGCCACGCAAAGCATGTGTGCGCATGCACAGCGAACTGGTGGTAAGTATATTGGAAACCCATCTCTGGCTAGAACTGATTGGCTGCAGCACATCATTGTACAATGAATAACTTTAAGTACCAGTTCTGGTCACAAGAAGACATGTTCAGTGAAAAATACTCAGATATACTGTGGCCATAAGAAACATTTAGTTCCAGGATTTTTACATTATAAAAATGTCAGACAAGAAAGACTAGGATCACACATGAATCTCCAATTAAAATGAAATATTACTAAATAATATCATCATGCCCATGAACAGTAATCTAGTCAACTAATGGTTAGCACTATTTTGGTGCTGGATAAAGGCCAACAGAATTCAAGAGGGGTTGAACTAAGTCCATTTGTGACTACATAGAGATTTGAGGCTGATTCCCGTTTTATCTCCACCCCCAGGTTCTGCCATTCCTTCTACAAAAAAACAGTTCAAAGTAAAATATAAACAATTTTTTCTATGTCCTAAAAGTTGCAGATGAGAATTAGCATTTCTAGGGCCAATTGAATAACAGACCAACTTCTTCCAAAATAGTAATATGAGGAACGGGGAGGGCAAACAGAAAGAAAAATCATTCCTTTTTTGTTTTCATATTATACCCTATAAGTTTAATAGGCTTCATGCCAATGTGGTAGTTTTTCTTTGCAGCAACATTCTCATTCCAGTTTTCCTCTCCCTGTTAATGTTACCTAAGTGAATAAAAATGTTTTATAATCTTGACGCCTTTAAATAGGTTCGAAGTTATAAATCTGTGCTACAAAAATATGAATAATCATTAGATGATTGCAAAGAAATAAAGAAAACTCTGGTGCCATGTTTTTGGTCATCCCAATTCTTGCACCTGAAACCCAGCAACCATAGGTTAGAGTTAGAATTTCCAGCCCATGTGGCCAACCTTAATCTAACACCTCTAAAGAATACCAGTTTGAATTGCTAAGACTCCTTCAATCACATGACTCTTGACTGACAAACACAACTGGCACCAGAACGTCTGTTGCTAAGCAAGGTGGCTGTTGAGTCATTCCCAACTGTATGACTTTTTTTTTTGCCACGGTTATTAAGCAAATTACAGTGCTGTTAAGGGAATCCAACTTCCCCCATTGACTTTGCTTGTTGGACTGGCTGGAAAAGTCACAAATAGCAATCACGTAACTCTAGGATACTGCAATTCTGGAATGCTTCAACATTCATAAATAAATGCCAGTTGCCAACTTCCCAAATTTTGATCATGTAATCATGGGGATGCTGCAACGGTTGTAAGTAGGAGGGCAGTTCACAAGCCACTTTTTTTAGTGCCGTTGTAACTTTGAATTGTTGCTAAGCAAATGGTTGTAAATCAAGGATTACTTGTAATTGTGGTGATACAATAGAGCAGGGCTGTAAAACCCACAGCCAGTGGGCCAGATGCATCACACGCTGTCCATGCCCACGTCTTGTTTAGCGAAGGGGAAAAAAGTCACAATACATCACGTGACGCCACTGTGACGACGCGAATTTGACACCCCTGCCATAGAGATAGTTCCTTGAAAACAGGCCAGTCAAAAAAAGTTGGTGAGGCTGGACAGAGCCACCTCTGAATTTGAAGAGACTTAGCAAACATTATGTAGACTTAGTGGGCTCCCACATGCTGGAATATTATTTAGTACAGCAGCAATATTACAATATGCCAATATCTGAATTTGTTACACCAGCACATTATGGGAATTTAAGAATGAAATTAGGATATTTTGTAAGAAGATTGAAGGCATTATGGTAAATGAAACCAGTGAGAGAAGCTGTGCATGTTTTAATGCCGGATTGTTTGTATGTTAGGAGGTAATGAAGTTCCATCTGAGGATGCACTTGTGCTCCAACTACAGCTTACAAAAGGCCAAGAAAAGTTTGTTGAAACACTAAAAAGTCAGCAGGCAGTCATTGTGGATTTACAGCAAAAACTTGCCGAGCAGCAGAATGCATTGGTTACCCAGCAGCGGGAAATTATTATGCAACAAAGAAAAATGTATGAACAAATGGATCTGATCAAAGTTCAGTACGGCATGCTTTTTGACACAGTGAAGCAAATGTCATTTAAAGGTTTGCAAGAGGACATCCAGCATTACTTTGAGGCTAATCTTGAAAACCTGCAGAAGGAAGTCAGAAATCATCTCCAGAAGTCCTACTCTGGGCATAAACTAAATGTGGACGCAAAAATGATTGATATTGGAGAAACTTTAATGGAATGTGGCTTTTGTGAAAGTGATGAATTTTGCAATTTTCAGAAGACACCATCACAATGTGAAAAATGTACCTTGTGTCCTGCTGGCTTTTTTCAGCTATTGGGATGTTCTGCAAATACAGATCGAATATGCCAGGTGAGCTATTATTATATTCTAAATTTAAATAGTAGCATTTTTAGGATTAATGGTCAGGTTTGGCCTATATGCATTTTACACAAGTATATAGATGTGTATACCTTGATCTTTGACATCGGTTACTTACTGTTTATTTATTTATTTATTGGTTCAATTTATATGCCACCCTTCTCTGGAGACTCAGGACGGTTTACAATGCGTTAAGCAATAGCCTTCATACTTTTGTATATACAGTACTTGCTTAGTAGGGCTTTCGGCCCCTCCCAAGCGGTGTTCTTTTTATACAAAGTCAGCTTATTGCCCCCACAATCTGGGTCCTCATTTTACCTACCTCGGAAGGATGGAAGGCTGAGTCAACCTTTAGCCTGGTGAGATTTGAACTTGCAGTAATTGCAGGCAGCTGGCAGCTAAGTGCTACTTAACAGCACTTTAGTCCGCTGTGCCACCAAGGCTCTTGGTGTTTCCACAACTTTCAAAAGCACCTGCTATCTGAGCAGATGACATTGGCAATATTTACAGTATTGGTAAGTAGCTGGTGTTAGTCAAGGTAATGACTTCAAACTTGATTGCAGAAAATAGGACTTCAGCAACAGAGTGGTTAATGCCTGGAATGCACTACCTGACTCTGTGGTTTCATCCTAAAGCTCCCAAAATTTTAACCTAAGATTGTCTACTGTTGACCTCACCCCATTCCTAAGAGGTCTGTAAGGGGCGTGCATAAGAGCACCAGCGTGCCTACCGTCCTTGTCCTAATGTTTCCTCTATTCGTATCTATTTTATGTATTCAATTCATGCCTATACTTATATATATTACCTAATACGTTATTGACAAATAAAAAAATAAATAAAAAATAAAATAAAATGTTAGTTATAGGTCACTGTGGGATTATAAAAAGTGATAAAATTCAAACATCTGGTATTGCTCTACATGTAGGCTCAGAATACCTCAGGTTGGGGAGGTAAAAAAGAAATGTTTAATAGGTTCTCTCAAGGTAGTGGAATCTGGATGGGAAGGCACCGAATTGGGCTCAGTTTTAGCAGAATAAAGTGGATATGAATTTTGACCAACATGGATCTGGAGATTCACCATCTTTTGTTGAGAATTGGTTAGTGCTTCTGCGACACAGTTACTGCTCAACCTGGAGGTCCAGGAGAGCTGATGGCAGCTATGATTAGAAATTGTTCTGTACTAATTGTACACATTTCTTGACTAAGAGATCATAATTAGGGTCATTTGTGCATTGGTCACCTCCCATTTGGATTATTGCAATGCATTCTACATGATAGCAAGGGATACATTGCTACCCCTTGTACATGTCTACTTTGTAAGGTGCACAGCTCCCAGTGGGTTTTCAGGTATAATTCAAGCTGCTGGTTATTGCTATAAATCTCTTCTTGACATAGGGCCAGGTTGCTTGCATGATGGTCTATCTCCACTTATTTCTGCCCGTCCTATGAAATCTGACAGGGTGGGCATGCTCTGAAGCCCTTCCATAAGCAATGTCATCTGATAGGAACCAGGAAGCATGTCTTCTCTGTTGTGGTATCTACCCTGTGGAACAGCATATTTCCTGAAACTGTAAGTTGCTGAAGTTCTTCCTCTAGGCCAAGGGTGTCAAACTCGATTTCATTGAGAGCCACATCAGGGTTGTCTTTGACTTCGGGGGACCAGGGTGATTGTGGCAAGGATGGGCATGGCCAGTTCGATGTCACTCGTGTTGAGGGTGCCTGTGGTGGCCTGAGCATTCTGCCAGTGAAAACGGACTCCCAAGCTCCGTTTTTAGCTGTGACAGCCTCCTGCAACCTCTGCTAGCAAAAATGGAGCTCAGAAGCCCCCCTGTGCACCTCCCCGAGCTCTGTTTTTGCTGGCAGAGGCACCACAGGCCAGTCATTTGCTGTTTCCAGAGTGGGCCTGCCGGCCGGATCTAAATATCCCACAGGCCAAATCCGGCCCCAGGGCCTTGAGTTTGACACCCCTGCTCTAGGCAGTGACAAGGTTGCTAAGAAATTTGATGAAATAATTGTACTGATATTCCTCAATTTACAACTGTAATTGAGCCCAGAATTATGCTTGTAAGTTGTCATAAATTGAGTGTGACTGGACCCAACTTGTTGACATTTTTATAGTGGTTGTTAAGCAAACACTGAGGTCATTAAGTAAAACAATTTTCCACAGTAGGTTTTTTTTTTTGCCATAAACCAGAAATAAATATTGGAAACTGGCAGAAAATGTTGAAAATCATCATGGAACGGTAGGACACTGCAAATGGCAATAAATGCGAGCCAGTTGACAAGCACCTAAAATGTGATTGTGTGACCATGGTGTGTGTGGCTATTATAACTTTGAAAATGGGTCTTAAGTAGTTCTAGGGACATCCATCATAACTTTAAATGGCCATAAATCAGGAATTATCTGTATGTTTGTGAGTCACTGTGGGCATGATGTGTTGTTTATAATTGTTTTAAAATTATTATTTCTGGCTATTTTTAGTCACTATAGATTGTTATCTCCCCTGATTCATATGCTAAGTGGACAGTCATATGAACTGAAGTAATAAAGAATATATAATAACAGTAACAGCAATAATACATTGCCTAAATTTACTGTGTGGTCATCTATTGCATATTTTCTGCAACAGCCTTAGAGCTGAAGTTCTAGGACTTTTTCTAGTTCAAGGCAGATCCACTATTTTCTGTTGGAGAATGTGATCTTCCAGTAAGTAAGGATGAATAATTCAACACTTCTTTGAAACCATATAATTAAAAGCATACATTTGCACCACGAATAATTACTGTCTTATATTCTTTTTAAACATTTGTAATTTGAGGTCATTTAATTGGTTATTTTGATAAGGATAACTAGAGTATTATTTTTTTTTAAAATAAAATTTAGTTTCCCAAATGTTTTGAACCAAGTCCTATCAGCTGCAGATAGCATGCCTGATTGCAAGGCGTTATAAGAACTGGAGTCTATTTCTTAATCAGAAGCTCACTACCAGTTCACCATATACTGGTAGTCCTCAACTTGCAACCACAGTTGGGTCCACAATTTCCATGGCTAAGAAGGACAGTGGTTAAGAGAGTCATGCCCAATTTTATGACCTTTTATGCCACAATTGTTAATCAAATCATTGCAGTTGTTCAGTGGTCATTCAGCTAATTTGGCTTTCCCCATTGACTTCATTTGGTAGAAGCCAGCTGGGAAGGTTGAAAATGTCGATTAAATGACCTGGGATGCTGCAACTATCATAAATACATGCTGGTTGAATTATCATGGGGATGATGCAATAGTCATGTGCGAGGAATGATTGCAAATCATTTTTTTCAGTGCTGTTGTAACTTCCAATGAATGGCTGTAAGTCAAGGAATATTTGTATGTGTATATATTTTGAGAGATTTTTCTTCCAAAACAACATCCAGTTCATTCGTAGGTGGGTAGATACATAGACATAATCTTAGGGCAGAAAATGCCAACTGCTTGCTTGCTAAACAAACAAACAAAAAATAAAATCAGAATACAGTGATGCTCCTAATATGTTAGGAATTTATCCTCCAGATGTTCCAGATTGGAAATTCTTGGTCATGAAACAGATTTGTCATATTTGCTAGTAGCTCTAGGCGTTGTATATGTTTGAGCAAGCGCAGAAGCATTGAATTTAACAAGGGAATCTATAACAAACTGCAGTGACATTGAAATGCCAACTTGTATTATGATGCCTTGTAAGTGATGTAGTTATGTAATGAAGCTTGACACAAGTAAGTAAGTAGTATAACTTATGCCATCATATCATAATCCAGATATCATTTCTCTTCCTTCTTCCCACTCCCTGCAGATGCCTTTAAGAATATTTATATGTGGTAAGGAAACAGTTGAAAGAGATAATTCAATATCCAAGTTATGAGAGCTCTAGCTAATCTTTTTGGTGGTATGAAATAGATTCCTAGCAGGTGGTGTGAAGAAATAGGTCTGGAAGTAATTACTTTCATAATAGATTTGGAATCTCTCTATGAAATGGATGGCCAATAGACTTCACAACTATTTTTTCCATACAATTAACCACGCCTGCATGGGCATGAAAAGGGTCTCCTAGATATTGTTGTCCTACAAGTGTCTCCAACAGCACGGCCAGGGATAGAGGGCTGAGAAGGCCATAAATCCTGTCAGACAAGCTTCCAAAACATTGCTGGGTTTACTTAAATCTGAAACAAAGTAAGGAATAGAAGCAGTTATGAATATTTTAGCTAAGTTTTTCTTCTTCAGTTTTTCTACAAAGAAATCAAAATTATCAAAAGTAGCATGGATTGAGGAAAAAGTGGTATTTTTGGGTCATTGTAAAATAGAATATTGATTATGTGGCATTATGATATTGTGATACTGGTGAGATGATCCATGATGCCTGGGATCATATTTACTAATATTAGGAGCATCTTTGAAAAACAAAAACATACACAATTGTTATCATTTGTCGAAAAGAGGCAAAGTAGCGAAGCCAAAAAGAAATAATTTGAGTATGTCAAGGGGGTTTTAAGGTCTCACAGGAATTATAAGGAAGAAAATTGAAAGGGATAGGAATTGGTTTTAAATTTATGGAACAAAATAGACTAGACAAAATAGATTTTGAGTCCCAAAGGTGCAGTGTAATTATAGAATTATTGGAAAGACATTAGATCATTTGCATCTTTTGTCCAAATTATAAGAGAACAGTAGCACTGAATATGTTTTTTTTAAAAAAATGATATCTGTAATAGTACATTAATTTGATATCTGTAATAGTATAGTATAATGTTAGAAATGTACTACAGAATTAATGTAAGTATATCTAATAGAAGCCTTTCCAATCTGACGTTTTTTGGGTAGGTTGGACTTTAAGGCCACAATCCTGGAATGTATAACTAGCATTTTGGAAGTTTATCAGTGTAGAGGTAAGAGATGCAGGTATAGAGGTGTTTTTTGGATTTTTGGGGTTTTTTTTGGGAAAACACTGATTTGAATATGAATTTGAATCTATTCTTCACAGGATAAAGATGAATGCATCGAATTACCAAGTATATGTGGAGAAAGGATGAAATGCCTGAACACACCAGGTAATGAGTGACAAAAACATTATTTATTTCATAGTCTTCTTTTATAAAATATATCTAAAAAAATCAGAGTTTTAGTATGCCTTTAGTTTGATTGGAATCAGTTGAACTCCAGATGGTCAGGACTGATTTGTCTTAGTGATTCCAGTGGCACCAATGTCCATCTTAATCTTGGTTCTTAATCAGAGTCAGCTGTGCAGAAAATGATTAAGTATGATAGGAAAATGATTTGTTTACAGGCACAAACAATTGCCAAATTCTGGTTTTAATGGAAACTGTTAAATAACATGCATATAGGTTCATTATAATCTTATTCTATGATTTCCCTATGGAAGTTGTGGGTTTTCCATCTTTTGAGATTTTTAAAATGACACTGGATAGCTACCTCTAAAGGATAGTTTACAAGTACTCCTCGATTTATAACAGTTCATTTAGTGACTGTTTGATGTTATAATGGCACTAAAAAAGGGATTATGACAGTTTTTCTTACAACTGTTGCAACCGTTGCAGCTTCCCCGTGGTCACATGATCAAAATTCAGACCCTCAATAACTGAATCATATTTATGACGGTTGCACTGTCCTGAGGCCATTTGATAACCTTTTGTGATCTTCTGATAAGCAAAGTCAATGGGGAAGCCAGATTCACTTAACATTTGCAGTGATTCACTTAACATCTGGGACAAGAAAGGTTGTAAAATGTGGCAAAATTCACTTAACAACTTTCTTGCTTAGCAACATAAATGATGTGCACAATTGTGATCGTAAGTCGAGGACTACCTGTAGTTAGTTTTTCTGCAAATTTCAAAAGGTTAGACTAGATTATCTATTTTCGGGGGTTGTTTCTAACTTCTCAGTTCTATATTCTGGAGCATTTAACAGTTAACAGTAAATGAGTTGGAAGGGACCTTGGAGGTCATCTAGTCCAACCCCCTGCTCACGCAGGAGATCTGTACTAGGGATTCGATCTGCTGACCTTTCTGATTGACAAGCTCAGTGTTTTAGCCACTGAGCCACCTAGTCAGATTTAGTGTAACATTGGATTAGAAACACAAATTAATTTATTTTGGGTTGGATGTAGATCACATGTATTTCTGTACCGTGTTTTCCTGAAAATAAGACCCTGTCCTATAATTTTTTGAACCCTGAAATAAGTGCTTGGCTTTATTACCAGATTGGGCTTATTATCAGGGGATGTCTTATTTTGGGGGAAACAGGGTATTTTAGGCAAGCTTCATTAATTTGTTCTTCTTAAACTTGTAAAAGGCAAATTTTCTGAATTTTGACATATAGTTCACAACAATTTCCCTCTTTTAGAATTGTGCTTCCAAAAGGGGAAGGTGAGATTTTATGTCCCTGGACCATTGAATTGGAGGAATTTTCCAATTCTGAAAAGGTGCAGGGCCAGGAGATGATTCTGTATTCAACTGAATGAAAATAGTGAAATACAATTAATCTGATTGTTTTTTCTGCATTTAATATTTTTCCCCACTTGTTTATTTCACTTACTCCATTTTTATCCTGGCATTATTATTTTTATAAAAAACTCAGAGCAGTGAATGTGCATAATATTCCTTCTTCCTACTTTCCTCACAAAAAACAATCCTGTGAGGTAGGTTGGGTTGAGAGAGAATGACTGGCCCAAAATCACCCAGCTGTTTTTCATGCCTAAAGTAGGACTGGAACTTTTAGTCTCCTGGAAACTTTTCCCCCATTTGTTGCATTAAAAATTACAGCTGGCAATCTTAGAGGAACTTTGATTATTATTCCTAACATTTTGAAAGTTTACACCTGAATTGATTGAAATGGAGCAGCTCTGTCTAAAGCAAATAAAATGGAATTGTTTGGCTAAAAAAACCTTGCCATTCATACACAAAATACAAATGTTTCTGATGATTCATTCAAACTATTAGCTAAAATTCATAATTAGGAGGCCACAGGCTCAATGCAAGCAGTGAAGTGATGGTGCATTTTTGGTAGTTCTGTGTCATATGAGTTTTACTCCCCCCCCCCCTCAGATTTGCAGGGAGAATTTTCTTTTGTTTCAGCTGCCTGAATTGAGTCTAGTTTTCCTAGATGTCCCAATTCATAATGGAGAAAAATTGTGCGCCAAGGTGGGGATAAAATTGGAGAAAACTTCCAAAGTTGTAATAAGGCATTTGGCCTCTTTTTGAATTGAATCCATTGACTTGGAACTGATTTTATTAGTGTAAATTTCATCAGACATTCAGTAAACAGGGTTTAATTGTTGCAGGTAAATAAAATCAGGCTTCTGACTGAATTATCTTTTCTTCTTGTGAATAGGAGGATTCCGCTGTCTTGGAATGGCAGAAAAAGAGGCTGCTCTGGGACTGTGTGGAGAGGAATATTTCTTCAATAAAGAGCATCAGGAGTGCCAGGCCTGTCTCGTGTGTGATGATGGAGCAGTGATTTTACCTTGTTCCCTTGTGAGCGATACAGTTTGTTCAACAGCTGTTGAAACCATTCTGTCTGAGACATGGGCTGCAGATACAGCTTTACCGTTGTCTGGCTCATTTCAGATCTACCCTGGGTTTAACCTGAAGTTAAAAGAAAAGCAAGGATGTGATACGGGAACTCTTGAAGAGGACAGCTTGGTGTTCAAAGAACATGGCTTAATGTGGGCTGATTTCAATTTTGCTGTGAAACATAACTGCAGAAATTTCCTCCACCTTTCCTTAAAATTCAAGGACAGTGAAGAAGGCTATGAACTCAGTGGAGTTCGTATCGAACAACCAGAAGGCAAATTTTTTCAGAGTGCCAGTGTGAGTAGTGCTGCAGAAGTAGAGCCAAGCCAAACTCTTTCGATATTTTTGAAGAGCCCTAATCAATTCTGCAACCAAAGTAAAGATTTAGACATATATAATCTTCAAACCCCTCTCAGCTTGTTTTGGTTATCTCACGATACAGGAGCAGTAGCCATGACTGCACAGATAATGACCGCAGTTCACTACCAGACAAATTATCAACCAACCTTTAAATTTGTTTCTCTTTCTGACTCTTATATGCTAACCTTATCTCATGATGGTAGAGCCATCAAGTTTACTGAAATGGGGGTAGTGAAATTTGTTTTCCAACAAGCTCTGTATTCCATGGGTCACACCTGCATTCATGAGGGATTCAATATGGTTGTTTATCTGAACAAAAACGGAACTAATGCAGAATTGATGACGGTTTATAAATCTGGGGTCAATTACAGAGATACTTCAATCTCTGTTTCTGGAGCCACCAAAGTCAGTGCTGGGGATCTAATGAGCTTTGAAATCCTTTCTCCTACACAATGCAGCATTCGTTATTTTGGAGACAGTTCTGGAATTAGTACTCTAAGTCTCATCTGGCTTCCATCTGCTATTTCCACTGCATTGTCAGCCAGAGTCTCCGTAATAAGATTGCCTACAGGAGCTGTCAGAAACAAAGTTTTGGATTTTGCACAAGTCTCAACCTATGAGAAACAGATCTATTTAATATCTACTGGACAATTTGCCCAAAAATATTTTATGTTTACAGAAAGAGGAATTGCTAGTATTGTGTTCACTTTAAAATTAATTCATTCATGTAATATGCTCCGGGTAACTTTAAATCAGTATGTCAGTGATAATGCTCCTCTTAACATAATTGCTCAACAAATTGGAGGCCAAGTACCTGAAGGTAGTATCTGGACCAGTGTTAGCCTTCGTTCCTCTTTCAAGGTTCACAATGGAACCATGATATCTGTATCACTAGACTGTGTGCGTGGCAGAATTAACCACATTTCTCATGAATATGGAACAAGCTTATCTGTCTTATGGATATCTTCATAGTTTTGCTTGGAGGACTTTTAAAAGAAACTTTGAAGATTGAAGTAAATGGGTTGCAACTATTGGATAAAACCCAACTTGGTGCCTTTCAGATGCGTTGGACTACAGCTCCCATAATCTTCCAGCTATGGGACTCAGAATTTTCAGTCTAGTGTACATCAAGGGACTAAGACTGAGAAAGCCACAATTCCCTTACTTTTGTTTACATTTTGTTGCATGAAGTAAATTAAACAGTCAACTTTTTGATAATAGTGATTGAATGAATGATTGATTGATAGAAAATGAGAATTGTGAGTCAACCAAAGGTACCATCTCTACTGAATTTCTGTTGGATGTTCTGGCCATCCCATGAGCTCTTGAGTTGTGAAAGTATTGGAAAGACTATATCTCATCATTAACTCCTTCCTTATTGGACAAATTAAGGGAGAAAGAGAAAAAAGCAGGAATATTCAATGGTACATCCACTGATCCACCCTATTTTCACACTGCCTACAGGCCATCCTTTTAGCAATTCCATCCACTATCTGCTTTGCCCATCACTGCCTAGTATCATCCTCCTCTACCTCTCCTGACATGATCTCAAGCTGAGGAAACACTGAAAAACCCTTCCTGTCTACCACCTGGCTATCACTCTGCAAGTGACTCATGAGCAAAACAGTACCTTCACTGTTCTTTTAAGGGAAGTAAATATAGAAGGAAAGCAATAGTGAAGGAGACAATCTTTCCCTACTGCAATAACCTCATTGGTGGCCTAACACAAGGAGTGGGAGCAAGAAAATGGCAAAAATACATAACTGAGTTAAACCAAAGTCATGGCACCTAGGCTTTACGGTATACCAGTAGCCCCAAGAAGAAGGGCAGCAGATACCTCTCATGGGTTCCCAGAAGTGTATAGCAATTGACTCCTGACATGATGGATGATTAGTGCCTGGAATCCAGGGATTTTGCATGCAAAGCATCTAATCATCTCCACCAGCTTTTGACGCAACAGCTTTTGTTGTACTCTTAGCAAGTAGCCTAAGAGCATCTTTTGGCACTGATTTGTGCGTGACTGTGACGCACAAATCAGTGAGCCATAAGCACATTTTTAACCAAACCAAACCATGTTCTAGAAACATGTTATATAGATAATGTTCTCTTGTCCTCAAATGCCTGCTCAACTACGTATTATACACTCTTGTTGTAGAGTGCAGGAGAAATGGTAGGAAATCATCAACTATACCTGAAATGCACACTTCCACAATAACAAGGTGATCATCCAACTCAAGAGAAGAAGCTTAAAACACCTGATTTTTGTAGTAACCTTCAGAACCACTTGCACTGAAGCCCATAAACTGGCCCGTAAATTCATCCCAACCTGCAGCACTATGCTGTGATAGTACTTTCTTTTTCTAAGACTCTGGACCACATTAGTTGAGTATAAGGTTTCAAATACATGGAATCAAAGCTATCTTACTAAGTCCAGAGGAAGAACCAACCCTCATGGAGCCCCTGACCCATTTATTCCTCACCTTCACAATAACTATCAAGTAAACCTCATGCAGCACACAAACCATCCTGCAGAATACCTTTCGTGCCATGAATTTCTGCATCAGAACCAGTAATCCTGTGGAAGTATTCAGTGTTGAAGTTGACTTGCCTCTGCAAGGCTATAGCCAGCTATCACCCAGCAGGCAGAGCATGTAGGTGCCATACTGCCATCCTAGCGCTATAGCCAAAACCAACTGGAAAGCACTGCATGCGATGCCCAGAAATGTTCTCACAGTATTTACTTTATACATATCTAGTAGAATTTTCTTCCTATGGATGAGTGGGCATTTATATTTTATGTGTATATGCATCTGTATACACATATGTACATACATTTATATATATAAAATTAAGTTAGGTGGATGGATGCAATTACATCATGATAGGTGCATCATTGGAAGACCTGAAGGACCAGGCTGGGTACAATCTCCTCCACCCCTGGATAAAATGTATGTCTTTGCTAAGAATCAAAGCCAACTTGAGAGGACATAATAAATATAAAGTGCACAATCATTACAGATCCTGAACATATATATAGGTACAATCACCAGCCTTAAAATTATTCTCTTCTTACTTTTATCCTGATTTTCTTGGTTAACACCTGTTGCAGATGTTGTGCCTGATAGTCTTCTTTCCTAGCATAATAGTTATAATACTTGTCTTGAATGCAAAATATCTCTAGTTTGAAACCCAGCAGACGGTATTTTTAATTACTATTTTTCTTCAGTATCTATTGTTTCTGCTAGGCAGTTGCTGTTTGCCAATGAATAGTGCATTCATGGAATTGGTACAAAAAAAATATGTGTACTTGTATTGTGGCATGATTCAGCAGATATTTTCCCAGAATTATTAAGATACAGAAATGTATAAATATCCAAATAATTTCAGTCAGTAGGAAAGTGGTTGACTGTCATCTCCATGGCAGTTAGTGGTGACTTCAAGGCATTTTCCTCCCTTGGACACAGGCAACATAAAAGGATGTGACATCTGCTGCTACGTTTAGTTTCAAATCTGCTCCAAATTTGCCACATAGCTAGCAAAATGTCAGCATATATTCCTTTTCTCCCACGGCTTTACCCCAAAGTCATTTCACCAACAAACAGTAGCCATGAAAACCAAACTAGGAATACCAAAGTATCAAGTACAAGGCGTACCAAAGTATCACAGCCTACTTCTGGGATATTCTTTTGAGTTCCCAGTTAAATCTACAGCAGTGTTTTTCAATTTGAGAACTTTAAGCTGTGTGAACTTCAGCTCCGAGAAATCCCCAGAATTCTAGAAGTTGAAGTCCACACAGTTTAAAGTTCCTGAGGTTGAAAAACACCGATCTAGATCTAGAGTACGGTCCCAAAATTTGTCAGCAGTCTTCTGTCCAGTTTCTAATTATGGCTTAGGAGCAACTAACCGGATTTGATTTCTGCAGGATGCAACTGCAGTTGAGCTCCTGCATTGGGACCTTGAGGGCCTGGTGGCTCAGCAGACTGATAGCATTGTGATTAACACCAGCTGTCTGCAATTACTGTAAGTTCGAATCTCACCAGGCTCAAGGCTTTCCATCCTTTCTAAGGTAGGTAAATTGAGGACCCAGTTTGTGGGAGCAATAAGCTGACTTTGTATAAATATATACAAAAGTATGAAGGCTATTGCTTAACGCATTGTAAGCCTCCCTGAGTCTCCGGAGAAGGGCGGCATATAAATCAAAATTTTTTTTTTTAAAAAAAGGCAAGCTACCATCTGTTACATGTCTTCCTGACAGTAAAACCACAAGAATATTACATATAATCATGAACTTTGTGTTCCTGAGATGTTGAGAAATTGGTTGTCCACACCCTCCTCACTAACAATTGCTTTCAGCTCCTTGGAAGGTATAAATGTTATATCCTATTTACTTGCTTAAATTTTTTACCCCATACGCTTCTACTGAGTTGCTTTAAGCCTTGAAAAGCTCACAAGTGACTGAGAAATAAAACAGTACACTTTTGACAATAGTATCTAGGTATTATTTCTTGCTTGATTATCCTTCATATTTCATGTAATTTCTTCCATAATTGCAGACAAACAACAGCAGCCATAAACAACAATAGGTAAAACATTTAGAGGAAGCTAAAAGGCAGCACAATTTATGTTCTTAATTATGTGTTCATTCCAACAGTTAATTTCCTGTTAATTCTGAAGAGGAATTCAGCAATATTCAAAATGTAGTATTTCATCCATTTAGAAAGTCTTTGCTCAGCCTAGGAGCATCTGACTGCTATCTAAAGGTTGCCAGATTCGTTATTTCAAACTAATCTTTCTTTAAAGACACCCCTGTGAGGCATTCTTGAGTGCTTCCATCTTAATCACTTCAAAGCAAATAAGACCAACAGATGATTTAAAGTTCTAGGCACATCTGAACCTCATGATTGTATAACCCTTGGCTGAGAGGAGAATAAAAGACTTCAGGGAATATGAACAGATTGCAAGCAGAAGAAGAATACAGGTGTCTTACATCAGACAAAAATTAACTCACTCATTTTGGAAGTAGGAGACAGATTTAGCTGGTGTTATAAAATATTTTACTTAAGGAAAAGATTTGTTGTACTAAGAAAGAAAAAACAATGTTTATCTTAGGGCCAATGGGAGCAGTACTTGAAGTGCATTTCATTTTCTTTTTGAAAAAACATTACATTTCTGGAATGACAGATTTTCATAGTACTGTGAATGTGTGTGTGTTTAATACAAAACCAGTACTTTTGTATTCCTGCAATTATATTTCAGTATGAGGTTGTGATATTTGATGCCATACCTGCAAGAGAAGATGTGATGAAGTAGAACAGGGGTGTCCCACAGGCCAGATGCATCACACACAAATCACACCCACCCCAACTCCGCGAAGGCAAAAAACACCGCGATACATCATGTGACATCAACATGACACGGCAAGTTTGGCACCTGGGAAGTAGAACATCTAAGCCAAAGTTTCTAAAACATTTGCAGCTTTTAAGATATGTAGACTTTAACTCCCAGAATTCCCTAGCTGGGTGAGAAATGCTGGGTGTTGATATCCACACAATTTAAAGTTGTCAAGTTTGAGAAACTGACCTACTGGGGAGACTACGTTGCTAAGCGAAGGCATCAGTTTCTTCTGTACTTTGTGCGGGTCAAAAGTTTGGCTTCTCATTGGACTAATGTTTAATATCTGTGAATAAAGTCTGGCAGTATAATATTAATGAAAGCTTTGCCCAAAGCTGTAATTTAAGAAGTCATTTGTCTCCCTGGAATGTTATTGTTGAGAATGAAAAATCTTCCCTTTTCCACATTTTTCCATTTTTCTAGTGTTGGCATTTTTTTCCTATTACCCCTATGTGCCAGGGAACATGGCACATTATTTGGAGAGATTAAAACAGGTGTATGGATGCCAGTTATTGATGTTTCTGTTGGTGATGCAGAAATGCATTTTGAGATTCACATAGTTCATTTATCGAGGTAGAGATTTTGGTGCTTAAGAGAAGGGCAAGAAGAATATTCTAACAGCATTAAAAGCAAAAGTACTGCCAATGTGATTCTCTTCGATGATGTCACATTGATTATTTAGTGATATCTTTCCTGATTATTTTTGTTATAGGTCCGTGATGGCGAAACTATGGCACGCGTGCCACAGGTGGCACACAGAGCCATATCTGTGAGCACATGAACATTGCCCTAGCTCAGCTCCAGCGTGCATGTGTACACCAGCCAGCTGATTTTCAGGCCTTTTGGGCCCACCAGAAATCGGGAAACGGACCATTTCTGGCCTCCGGGAGGGTGGGGAAGGCCATTTTCGCCCTCCCCAGGTTCCTAGAAAGCCTCTGGAGCCTGGGGAAAGAAAAAACAGGCCTACTGGACCCACCGTGCCATCGCATGCCAAAAGTGGGGGGAGCGCTGGGGGAGTCGCATGTGCATGCACGGGGGCGGGGCACATTGAATTATGGGTGTGGGCACATGCATGCTCAACCCCCCGCGCTCCCCCCCACTTTTGGCATGCGATGGCAAAAAGTCATCACTGTTATAGGTAGTCCTCAGTTTAAGACCACAACTGAGCCCAAAATTTCCATTGCTAACTGAATCACTGCAGTTATTAAGCTAGTAACATGGTTGTTAAATGAATCTGGCTTCCCCATTAACTTTGCTTGTCAGAAGGTTGCAAAAGGTGATCACATGACCCAGGATAAGTCAAATAAGTTGCTCAGTATAAGAACAGTGAATTCAACCATATTGCCTGGCTTAGCTGTGTTGTGTGAATCTTAAAATCTAGTGCACTGTAGGCCAAGGGTCATTTCTTAGCTAATCAATACTCCGGAGAAAGAAGAGAAAAGCATGCAGTATTCAAAACAGAAGAAACTCTATTAGAAAACACACACCATCAGAGTACCACCTGTCAAGTACAAGAAATCTGGAAAAAAGATGATTAAAATGAATGCAGGTCTATCACATGCTAACACTAGTTACAAGAATCTGAACCGCTAATAGTCAAAACAAATTGGTAGTAGATAAGAGTCAACAGAATTTAAGGTGGACTGGACTTAGATATCAGTTTGATGCTTGCTTGCTATCGGCTGCCATAGTAATGGGGAAGGGGGAAGGTTGGCATTTGGGTGGGGAAGTGAGTTAGAGTGAAGACGGCCTGTGTGTGAACCAAAAGGGAGGGATGGTCTCGACTGTGCAGCTGAATGGACTTGTTTGTGCCCAGTCAAAGTCAACCATCTCAGCATACCAGATGGGGAAAACCACCTGAAGATGTGCCCCACATGATTTATTTTATTTGTTCAACTTGTATGTCGACACAAGGCTGCTTACAATGCATTTAAAAACCATATATAAAACAAAAGTTAAACCATTAAAAACAATTAAAACCCATTCACACCATTCATGGCCGGATCTCGCCAGATCGCAACAGCAAGATCAACGGCCCCAGGCTTGCCGGAAGAGCAAGGTCTTCACCGCTTTTCGGAAGGCCAATAGGGTGGGGATAGTTCGGACCTCAGGAGGTAACTGGTTCCAGAGAGCTGGGGCAGCCACAGAGAAGGCCCTCCCCCATGGGCCCGCCATCCAGCATTATTTAGCTGATGGGACCCTGAGGAGACCAACTCTGTGGGATCTTACCGGTCGCTGGGAGCTATGCGGTAGAAGGCGGTCTCGAAGATACCCTGGCCCTGAGCCATGTAGGGCTTTAAAGGTAATAACCAACACCTTGAATTGTGACCGGAGACCTATAGGGAGCCAGTGCAGCTCGCAGAGAATTGGTGTAATGTGGGTGTACCTAGGTGTACCCACCACAGCTCTCGCGGCTGCATTCTGGACCAACTGTAGTCTCTGAACACTTTTCAAGGGTAGCCCCATGTAGAGCCCCATGATACCATATGGAATGGGGATTGGACATTCTGGGTCCTTGGGAGGGATTTAGGGAAACTTTCAATATGTAACTTTTGCACCCTTTGGCTCAGATCTTGCTTTTCTTTCATGGCTATCATTTCGAATTCAGTAAAAGTACTTCTTATCTGCAAACATGGAGTCCCGAGTTTTCTTTCTTGGGTTTTGAACGGAGGCATGCCCAACAGATATCTTGTGGGCATGATAATTGATAAAGTGCTTGACCCCTCTCTTGGGCTCATCCTGGTCATCTCCTAAACCAGCAGTCCCCAACCTTTTGGGCACCAGAAACTGATTTTGTGGAAGAGAATTTTTCCATGGAGTAGATGGGATGGGGTGGAGAAGGGTACAACCTAGATCCCTCACAATTGCAGCTTACAGTAGGGTTCTTTCTCCTATGAGAATCTAATGCCTGACAATCTGAGGTAGAGCTGAGCACTGGGGAAAGGCTGCAAATACGGATGAAACTTCACTCGCCTGCTCCTCACCTCCAGCTGTGTGGCCCAGAGTTGGGGATCCCTATCCTATATTGCCCAAATATTGTCTCTACATAGGCCATAGGCTCTGTTGCCTGCTTGCCAATGGTGAGGGATCCATTAATAAACTGCAGTGGTTCATGAGACATCAGGCAAGATTGGAAGAAGCAGATTGGCTTTCTCAAAATGACTGTCCTTGATCTGGTTAGAATGATTGTGTGTGGCCAGATTCAATAGTAAAGAACTACAAGTAGTCATTTAACAACCAAAACTGGACCAGCACTTGGTCACTAGGTTGAAAATGATATGAACATGATTTTACATATAGTTTTACTTCAGCTTTCCTTTTACCCCACTCCCTGCTCTTAGGAATGCTCACCATGGCACTGGAATAATTTAGCAAGAAAGAGATTAGTATTTATATTTACATTCAGTGTAAAGGACAGGATTACAACAGAGTAATCAGGCAAACAATAGGGAAAACACATAGAAAGAAATGCACTAGCACTGGCTGTTTGCCTAGCATGATTGCAGCTCTGAGCCCTGAGCTGCTTGGAAAGAAAACAAAAGTGGAAGGTCCTAAAGTAATTATGGTAGTCTTATCAGTCACAAACAGAACCAGCTAGTTAAGATTACAGACCTGAGCTTGCCCTTAGCACCTTTTTGGGGAGGTCTACGGGGAGAAAAGCAGCTCAGGAAGAGATTATTTTTTAAAGCAATCTCTCTGCTGTGCCAAGATGGGAAAAGCAAAGCAAAGCAGGCACAGGACAACACATATTACTGCAACTGACCAAGGTGAACACAGGGCTGAGAGATGACATTGGCGGTCAAGTTATTTTTTCATCATCATAATTTTAAATGGTACTGCTTAAGAGAATTGCTAAGTGAGGTCTACCTGTATGACTGAGTTAGCAATAGCACTTCAACTTATTTACTGCTTCACAGGGCTTTACACCCTCTCTAAGTGGTTTACAGAGTCAGTATATTGCCCCTAACAATCTGGCTCCTCATTTTACTGACCTCGGAAAGATGGAAGGCTGAGTCAACCTTGAGCCGGTGAAATTCGAACTGCTGAACTGCCGAACTGCTGGCAGCTGGCAGTCAACAGAAGTAGCCTGCAGTAC